GATATTATACCGGGGGGCATATCGTTAAAACGTGCACATCCAGCGCGAAATGTATCGTGAAAACGTCGAACACCCCGCCCCGTTTGTTCTACACGGCCGACACATTGCCGACGATTTTTCGAGCGTGCATGGAATACATTGAATCTCATTATACGATGCGTTCCTCCGTTCCGCCCCACGGCGATCCTTTCTCTCGCTCTTTCGTTTTTAACGTGCAAAACCGTTTTTGTTTCGGTTCGATCGACTCTCGATCGTGCTGTGGCCTGATTGCTGTGTGACCCGTTTGTGAAATAAAATCCTATTGGAGGGGGTGGACGGTTTACATAATTTCGTTTCAACGATCGTGTTATTGTAAGAATGTTTCCAGAGGTGTGTACTCTGGTAAAATTAATTGTATTCCCACGCGATGGCGGAATTATCGCAATTGTTTTTTCCCTTCCTTTTCTTTTTTCCAGAAAACAATAGTCGCGTATAATTTGGACGGTATTTTATTGTTGTATTACTGTTTCTCGATTATATGGACTCTGATTTAGATCATTATTTAAATAAATATGGATACAGATATAGATAGACGATCTTGATTGTAATACGATATTCATATCAAAAAGCAAGAAAGAAAAGAAAAATTAAAATAACAAGTACAAAGTTTAAATATTATAAAATTTTACGACAGATAATTGGATCCAAAGTTTACATTTTTTAATTTGAATATCATCAAAAAAAAAAAAAAAATCATACAACAAACGTTTAATTGAAAATGAAGCAGCTGGAGGAGTAATAAAAAAATATGTATAAAAAAAAAAAAAAAAAAAATAAAACATAAAACGGACAAAGAAAGAGCACTGACCTGATGTAATTGTCAGGTTGGAGGCAGTCGAGCTGGGACACAGACTTGGTGCTACCCGTGCCACCTTGCCCTATATCCCAAACCTTGACGCATCCCTTGCCGCCGGTATACACATATTTGGTCGGATTCGAGATCGTGACAGCGCACACGACCTCCCCATGGCTGAGGGTATTAATTTGCCGCGCATGACGCGGTATCCCTTGTCCGCTGAGCGCATCCGGTGGGAAGGGCACCGGCTGCATCTGGCCCTCGCTCGACACGTGGAAACTGTACGCGCTGAAACATAGAGAAAAATTCGCCCCGTGTGGTGAACACGCGTCTGCCAACTATCCGATCCGGTGTTGTATCGTTCTCCCGTTCCATCGATCCGCAACGACACGCTCCAACGAAACTGGAAAAAGTTAACCGAGGGACAGGGGATTTTTGGTGACTTTAACTCGTTTCTTTTTTTCTCTCTCTCTCTCTCTCTTTTGTGGAAAATCGATACTTGTGGAGTTTTATACTGTTTATAGGTATCCTTCTGTGGAATGAAATTACACTGGTATGATTTATGCTAAATTGGGAAGAAATTTCGAAGAGATAAATATGAGGGGAGTGAAGGATTTCCTTTTTTTTGGTGGGACGAATTCGAAAAACGCGAAGAAAGAAGGATTTTTATCGTGATACGTTATTAATATGCAGAGTAGATTTTCTTTTGGAAAGAAAGGGAGGTGACAGGAATTCGAGAAATCGAGAACGCGAAATAATATCACGGGGAAGACGCGATTTATTATCTTAATATTTCCCATTAGCCTCTATCTTGAGCGTTTAATCTCCCGGTAACCGAGATCTGTTCTAAAATAAAAATATCGATAACGTATTTTAACCGTTCGCGGCTACGATAAACAAGGGGATTGGGTGAATTTTCATAGTAAACAAAACCGTAGATAACGAGCCCTGGCAAGCAGACCGAATATCAAACAATGTTAAAACAAAAAGCATATTATATCGGAGATTCGATCTTTCGTTAAAATATAAAATATAGTATATTTTTATTGCTTTCCAGTAATCGCTGATATCTCTCTCTCTCTCTCTCTCTGTACAAATGTTATACCTGTATTTTTATTCAAATCATGCGTTAAATACAATTGGTCTTAAAATTATTGGACCAAGATATATTTGATGTATTTGATATGGTGAAAATTCACGTATGAAAAATTAAGTGTTTGAAAGCCTGGTTACTTAGAGATATCAAATGGAAACTTCCAAAAGTTCCAGATACAATTTTGAATTTTACATTTATCAAACGGTTAATATAACAACGCATAATTGTGTCAAATATATATTCCCCCTCTCTCCTCCCCTTAATACCCCCAATCAAATACTCAAGAACATGTAATTCAATTATCTTATCGCGAAACACCTCCTAGTTTTCATAATCTGAACGTGAAAGCAAACAGTTTCACTTAGCCTTCATCCACTCTAGATTCGTTTCCAAAAAACGTTGTTTAAGTTTGTTACATCATCCTGTATCAATAAATTTATTACTTATTATCTTGTACAATGTAATCAACCAACGAGATAAACGTGATTGATCGATCATTTAATATATTTTCACTACCAAACAAGAGAAACTATTCTCTCTGCCAATTCACAATTCAGACTTTTTTAAACAAAAAATTATTAAAAATAAATTTCTCTCCTAGAATTCTTAAACCTACACTATATAAATCCTACCCTATATACATAACAAATATTCCTTCCTTAAACTTAAACTTAACAAATCTCCGTAAATAAACTTCCATTTCCATTACATAAAAAGAAAGAATATTTCAGATCTGGACTCTTCGATTCAATTTTGGAATATTAGGAGTGAAGTCGCGGGAGCGCTACCACATCCACTTACGGTTTGCCTCCGGGCACTCCGA